ACATCAATTTTTTTTTCTGCGCGTCAATTCCGCCGAGTACGACTTCTGGCCGCTACTCCCGCCGCGCAGCAGCGCAGCGTACATACTCCCAGCATCCCAATTCTTTATACTTGTGTATAACCTTAAAATGATGTTGAATAACGACTTACGAAGATTTCAAGTTACGAACGGCCATTCAGAACGCAACTCTTTCGTAAGTAGAGTGTCTGTACTGTACTTTGATAAACATAATAACTTTACACCAACATAAACAATCATGTATACATTTTACTTTGGCCAAAATGTTTGCACAGCACTGTTCATCCAACAGTCAGAAACAATACTACACAAATATATTAAGCAATGATTAGACGTTTAAATAATAACATTTCTGAACAGATGTGATTGCCATTAAACATCAAAGTGTTTTATGTTGAACCAATAGTTACACAGCTCAGGCTGTGGTTCAAATGTCTGTTTAATATTGAGTAGCCCTGCCTGGCTGTATGAATGATTGAGTGGTCCATGTTGGTTAGCGATTACTAAATTACATTAACTGCACTGCTTTTCAGGGCAATGTAAGCGACCCCGTGATTATGAAGAATGGTCCATTCGGAAGATTCACATTTTACTCTGAATATGAGACATGCGGTTTCTGTGATGCTTTGTCAAAATTCACAAAAAAATGTATATATATTCTCCCCAGACATTCCAAGCAAGATGTGCCCCCCCCCGTCGAATCCATTATTGAACACACACCTACACCCTTGGGACTGTTCTTCAGAGAGCATGCCAGAACCCAAGCATGACATGGTGATTGCTTCAACATTTTGCAAAGTTCTGCAATATGTACTGGGAATGTTAGTATTCACAATTACCCACAATTCTTTGTGGTACAATGTTGTCTTCGTGTCATATATTTAACGTGCCCCAGACCTTGGCCTTGTCATCCATCTTTCTTTTCCCGGATTTTCCATAGTTGGATACTGCATCTTATGACATTCTAGCTGGGGACCAAAATACACAGCCTTTAAGCCCCCATAACCCACGTCACCCTCATCCCAGATTTAGAAAAAAAAAACAAAAAAACTCCCTCACACAGAGGTGTCAAGCAATCATTCTTCTCCTGTTTGGAGCTCCGTGTTTGCTTTAGCTAAAGCGACCCCCAGCCCCCTTTCATTGGGACGCCTCCTCTGATGACATTGCCTACAAAAACACAAGGAAGGAATGTGTTGCGAATGCACTGCCTCGCTGACAGCAAGATGGATGCAGCCAGTGACGGCCTTTTGTGCCGGTATAAGACACTCGCATGCTGGTTCGGGAAAAAAGTGTCAAGGATATTGAGAACAATTCATTCCTATCGCGGAGCATTTGTGTCGGAACTGGTCTGTTTGCTTTTCGAGCGTATGGACACGATTGCCATTCAACACGTGGACACAAGAAGCCAGTGCATGTTTTTTATTTCTTCGAAGATTAACAGCAAATTGGTATATCCTCAAAAGGCAATGACATTCAGAGTTACAAAGCTGTTAGTGTTTTGAAGCATTCAGTCAGTGGCTGTAATCATCAAATTTAATTTTGTTCAACCACTGTTAATTAGAAAAAACTAGAACCATATTAACGGATTTAACTGACATTTATTAGTGTTACCGCAAATAGCACTGAGTATCTGCGTAACGTCAGGGCTGCCATTGCCTCGTCAGAACAAACGGCTTAAGCACGATCGCGGTAAGTGATCCAGCTGGATTCAGTTCGATGCCTCCACAACCAAAATGCACAAGACAAAATGCTTTATACCCGCTATAACGGTAACAGCGGCAGCTTTCATTCACAGGACGACAGAAGTTGCACTATAAAGTAGGCCTATGTCCTTATACCGTAGGCCTACGTATAGGCAGATTATTGCAACTCAGTCCCTCACTACCACCAATATTTATCTTTTAACATCTTATTACAATACTGTTAATGTTACCTCCTAAAATGACCCTTGTGAATGAATGAATTCGACGTTGCTGCATTACATGCACGCGGACTGTAGTGTTATTTTTAGAAACTACCTTTGGATGGCGTCGTTCTCCCCTTCGCTCCATTAAATGTCATTTTTGCGAGCAACCTGTAGCGCTTTCCTTGCTCTTTCCATAAACCAGTATGTGCGGCAGATGCTTAAATGAATGGGAAAGGGAGACCGAAGGGAAAATAAGCCGGGCCTCGAAAATCTTAACATACGTGGCCTGTAAGTGTTAACTCTAATAATGCCTGTTAGCACAACTCAACAGTTATTGATAGATCCAATTAAACCAGTCCACACAGCAGAATTTCGGCTTTTATCTTAAAGCCGATGGTTTTACGCGTTTACACGACCCGAATTGCCCAGGTTTATGCAGGGTGCTAAACAGGACAATAAACCGATCGCTATCTTTCACCAGGTCTGATAAAACACCTGCAGTCCTGGAATACAAACACGCATTGCCACTTGCACTCGGGCTGATAACCAAAGCTCCAGTCGGAAACACCGCGACTGTCTGCCTGTGTATTGCGCTTCCATACTCGCTCCTGATTGCCCGCGTCAGTGCGATTAGATAATTTCCTCCGCTTTAAACTTCACATCATCAATGGGGGCGTGCAGGGGAGTATATTCATGCGGTTTCGTTGACATCAAACAGGCCCAGCCTTTGAAGAAAACTGCCTAATCAATGCCTTAATTATGTGAACACGGATTATAAATATGCTCGACTAATATTTTATGGTCACTATCACGAGGGGGACATTTACGGGTTTGCGGATGGAAGTGTTTTAAACTAATGAGTTCTTCGTCTGATTAACGATTACTATTATTCCAGTAGTAGGAGCAGCAGCAACAGTAGTAGTCGGCGTAGCAGCAGCAGTAGTAGTAGTAGTAGTAGTAATAATATCAATAATATTAATGATAATAAACTAACGACATATGTTCCTGCATTACATTTTCAAAGAGTCCAAATGAAAATTCTGTCATTGGCCTATTGTTTAATTTATAAAGGCCTATAGAGTTTTAAATACAGATTTAAGTAAAACTGTTACAGAACCTAGGTTTATAACCCATAAACGTTTCCGTACTGTGAATAATTATAGATACTTAACTTGTTTTAATGCAGAGGAAATTATATGCTTCAAGGGATATTCGACAGTGGAAAACGCTGCAGGCTGCACTGCTAGATCCCACCGATCCGATTCGCTGCCGGTGCATTTGGACGAATATGGTCAATTAAACCGCATTCAAATCAACTTCAAACACAACTTATTATAGGCCTAAATTAAACCGAATCAACTATTTAGTAGCATAAAATTCATTAATATTCTTGATCGTAGAATTAATTCCAAGAATAATGTTTCAGATTAGCCCTAAACAGAAGAATTTTATTTGTAGATCTATTGTGGTTTGAATATAAATAGGCCTATACAAATTCGACATGTGCTGTATGAGTGCTAATAGGCTAGTTGGTAATTAATAAATTTATTTCAAAATTTATTTGAAAAAACGTCGATACAACCAAAGTCAGGCCTATATTTTCTATCATTAATTGTGTTTTATGGGTCTTTTTTATTTGTTCTTCGTGGGTAGAAATTAAACAAAACATTTAAAAACATAAAATCAGAGGATATTCAACTTAAAATTATATACCTATATGTAGGCCTATGTATTCATATTTTTGTGATATACGGGTTGTTGTTTTTTTTTTTTTTTTTAGCTTGATGCATTATTTTATATATGTTTTTAGATACAGGTTTTAAAAATACTGAAATTATTTTTAATTATTTTAAAGTAGGAACCTGTTGCAGATGTTGGCTATCATCATCTTTACAGCTACTTTAAACGCGACCCTGCAGTTTGGCGCGAGCTCCTGGGGACGCTAGCTGGTAACGACGGTGTGAAAGAATCGCTTTTGTTTCAGTTTTCAAAAGTTGTATTTTTTTAAGGTTAAAAAGTAAAAAAAAAAAAAAAACGCCACGTTTAAATCGCACTTGCTGATTTTACAAACTTTTAAAAAAAAATTCGCGCAGCTATAATTATAATTGTGCCAAAACATCATTATATAATGTATGCTTTGTTGTGGTGGCGTTTCCTTCGATTCCATTTCTGTTAACCTATTCATTACTACTTACCTCTTTATCAAGGAATTTATTTTTTTAGAGAACTAACGTGCGTCCTATTTTATTACAGTGGCATTTTTATTCCCTATCAAAAACGTGTCTCTGGATCGATTACTGCTGTTATTTGTTACTGTTTCTAATAACAGGCCACGATGTCAGCTTTCTGCTCGTTCAATTATCACTGCTTCTGATGCCACTGTTACGCAGGACTGACTGTTAATTACGCGTTCTCAGTGTTAATGTGAGCACACCATTACTTAGGCTACGTAAACAATGTTCGTGCTAAATTAGCAAGATCCGTTTTTTGTGTCCCACTGTGTTGATGGCGGTGATGAAAATATTGAAATTTTGATGATGTTTTTGTTGTTGATATCAATAAAATAAATAATTCTGCCTCACATCAGGTCATGACCTCTGTGGTGAAAGTACGATGTCCCGCTTAACAATTTTGTTATAAGTTATAAGTACAAAAAAATTAAATAGGCTATACAGTTTACACCAATTTTGAAATGCATATATTTAGCAACTGTGTTAGGCCTAATAAACTGTTGCATTATATAATTTATTATTAACAGCGTTTAACTATGAAACGCAGTTTTTTTTTTGTAATTATATTTCAGAAACGAAATTTTCGATTTATTTATTATTGCTAATGAAACCTGCGCCAGTTACTTTGGTCATTCGGGTGCGCATATTGGTCCGCTGCACACGCACAAACCTATACTGTCGAGAAGTTATTTTTAAAAGTGTATTTCTTCTCCCTGTCTCTTTTGTGCGGTAATATACGTGTGTACGGATATTTTTCTAATAAGCAACAGATGATCATACAACTCTGGACATATATTTCGTATAGGTTACATAAACGGTAAATATAAACGTAAACATCAACTCACCGACACACTCGTTGGCTTCTCGGGCTGTAGCGCGCTGCCAAGGTCGATCGTAATGAAACGGTTTACATCTGTCACACTCCGGGCCCGCAGTGTTGTGCTTGCATTCGCAAACAAGGTTTCCTTCCCGGTCTTTTACGCACCTCGACGCGTGGCCATTGCACTTGCAGCGACCGCCAACCTGCAAGTCCGAGACTGCGTAGAAATAGGAGTCCCGCGCGAGCTCCGAGTCGTCCTCGTTCTCATCCCCAAAAGTGTGCAGTCGGCTGAATGTCACTTTGATATCGGTAGCGGTGACCCAGTCCTGAAGCACAGGCGAGTTATCAAAGTCATGCGCCGAGGGTCTACCATCCAAGGTGCTGAATGCAATAAGACCCCCGGAGAGTGGATGCATATCCGTGTGAGAGTCTGTGCAGATGGCTTCTTGTTCGTTCTGCTTGGTGATAGCTGCCTTGTTTTGTTTATTATACATTTTCCTGCACTGGGTGGAATAAAACTGGAACGGGACCCAGGTTTTTCCGTAGTCCATTGACTTAAATATCGCCATAGATTCGGGTCGCGGGGAGCAAAACTGCAGGCTCACGTAAGTCACTTCAAATTTTTTACCCAGGGACAGTGTCATCGTGACATTCTGCGGGTACTGGACGTAGTTTTCCGATTGCCAACAAGTGAGGTTATGAGGGTTGTTAAGATCTGTCAAATATGCCGGTGGGTGATGCTTCTTAGGGTCACCGGCATCGCAAATGTGACAGTTCCTGTTCCTCTCGTCTCCTTTTTCCGTCACTACGCAGTACCTAGCGGGCGGTTTTCCACAGGTGCTGGAAACACGCACTTCCTTCCCGAACGCGGAGTTCACGAAATCGGGGATGCATCTCCTGGGGTTGCCATTCTCGTCGTAACACGGATCCGGCGGAGACGTCTGAGCTGCGAACATGCTCATCCCATAACCGCAATGAACCCTTTCAACCATGAAGGAGACAACCACTAAAGTGGCCAAAACCTCAAAAATCCTGAACATTGTAATCCGCTGTCTTCAGTGTCTCCTGCGCTGAAATATATAGGCGATCCCTAGGAGAGAACGGTATTCATAGGTACACTTGTGAAATGTTCTAAACGCAGAAAGCTGCAGAAAAAGAGAAAAACACACTTAAACGAATAAAAAAATGTACACGACGATTTCAAGGTTTAAGTAAATACTTATTTAAACGCGTCGATGTTTTAATAGGTCAACTGTCACAGAGACGAATATTCATTATTCCATAACTTACTGTTATATTTTTGTACACCCTGTCTAAACAATTATGCACATAAACGTATCATGCATACGTTCTGTGAATTAAAGAAATCTCCACGTAGGACACGGTACCTCGGAATAACAGTTCAGCCTGGCAGAAAAGTAATAAAACGCTTCTCAGCGTGCTCTCTCACTTTTTCTCTTTCGGAGTATATTACAAACGTTTTTGTGTTCTTGTTTGTTTCTTGGAACCCTGAAGCAAAAAAAATACAGTGTAAGACAGTTGTCGGCTTTCTCTCTCCCTTTCTCTCTCCTTCGATCTCTCTTTCTCGCCCTCTCCCTCTCTCACTGTCTCTCTCACTCTCTCACACTCTCTTGTGCCGCATTCACTGTCCGTATAGAAAGTGAAGGACGACTTAAGATTCTGCCGCGCTTGAGGTCATCTTAAAAGGGTGACACTCACTGCGTTAAAGGAGAGAACAACGACATCCACTGGTAGATTATCAAGGCAAGAATATGTCGTATAGTAACGTAATTATGGGTCGAGATGAACATTAAAAGCGGAAAACTGCCTTTTACCTTAGGTATCACACTTTCTGGGAATTATGTATTTTTAGTTGTTATGAACTTCGAAAGAAATAACATTATTTCCCAATGGATGCTATTCGTTGCAATTATCGCTACTGCGCTCGATCCTTACTCACCGCCTCCTGTTGATTCGACTTATTAAATCATACAGAGCCTTTTATCACCTGTCCAACATACCACTTTGTTTTGTTCTAGTTTAAAGTGCAAATAAAGCGCTTGAAGCGCAGCCGTGCTCTTCGTATTAGTGGTAACGATAAGTATCGGCCAAAGCACTGAAAACACTTGGTTAGTTGAGAAAAGGCCTGCGGGTTACATGAAGTCACACAGTAAGAGCGGAACGCAAAAATCGATTTGGCCAAGTTTTGCAAATTTACAGACGACTGCCGGAAGGAAAGACTGCACTTAATACGGGCGAAGAAACTATATATATATATATATTACGTACAAAAACACATTTCATAAAAATTAGTTCCTCATATACAAAATAAAAAAGTGTTATATTATTATTTCGTTGCTGCCATACCCTATAACATAAGTACCCCAACGATACTATTACTACTACAATAATAATTAATGTGGTAAAACTGGTATGCTTCCGTTTTTTGTTTCTCTGTATTTCAGCGTATTGGATCCTTCGGTTCATCCGTTTTTCATTCGGGTATCTCCAAGTTGTAGTTTCCTTAGGAGACATATTACAAAAGATTTGACAGTGTGTAACTGATACCCCCTTTCTGTCGAGCTTTACAGATACACAGTCCTTGTCAGCGTCCAGGCAGATGTCGTCTCACATCTTCGATTGAGTAAGACGCATTTTTAAAAACCGAGTTGCATTTTAGTATAAGGTTCTGTAAATTGAAATTCATGAAAGGACTGAGATAAATGTATGAAAGGGGGACACACGCGGATTATTACACCTTTTCTGTCGTCCCCAATTCACGCTCATAAATCCCCCTGGAAAACAGAAGCGAAAATTGGGAATGGAGATAAAGAAATGTTATTTCTGACAGAGCATTTGCGGTACGCGCAGCAAAGTAATTATTTTCTAATGTTAGATTTTATCCTAGAATATTAGCATGAGTATGATTAATTAAGCCGTCTGTCTCAAATGATTCACTTTGAGTTTTACAACTGCTCTATCGTCCTTATTCAGGTCTCCTCAAACTTAACAAAGTCTCTGACCTTATGGTTCATTTTAGGGGATGAATTTTCGAGGCCTGCTTTTCGGCAATATTTGTGTAAACGACTATTTGGACAATAATTAAAATGTCTAAAACCAAAATTTAGGCTGTACCGGAACTGTGGCAGCGCCGTAAGACGTGATCGAACGTGTTTGTACCTGGATATGCTGAGCTCGCTTCGGCCCCTATGGACTGATCCAGATGTGATTCTTGGACATTTATTGGACCATGGAAATGTATTCGTTCTACGGGATACTGCCATATTCCCATATCAAGAGTTTCTGCTGGAAGCCCCGCGGCTTATTGCAAAACCAAGCGTCGGGTCTGAGGCTTTACATGAGGTCGCTTTTTTTATCCGACACGCTTTGGGCCCAGCGGTCGAGGTCTAGAAATGGGCTCTATGCAAATTCCCCACTCTAAATGCCCCTAGAGTCGAAAGCAAAGGTAAATGGTCTGTTGTAAATTGAATTAGAGCTTGATTAATCTGTTCCAGGACGTGGTTGCCCAGCGGGACGTCTTTGGCACTGCTGACGGTCGCCCAACAGGACAGTGGGCTATCACCAGGCTTCATTTAGCCTCTTTTCTCCAGTTCCCGTGTCCATCCTTGACAGAGTTGTCAGGAGAAAATGGCCACTGCACAGTGGGGGGAAAAGCCGCTAAGTGCTCTTCCAACACATTTTAAAACAGGTACAAAAAAATTAACTGAATCAAATTTAAATAACATAATCAAATTTAAATCCACAACATTAGTGCGTAAACGCAAAATAAATGATAATACAATGAAGTGCATTTTTATATGATAATTAATTAATCGACACCCTTATTTGTACAGTGATATACGTCTCTATTAAATATGCAACATTACAGCGAAAATCCGTCATGTTTTTATTACGGAAACCTAATTCTTCGATAGCCTATTTCATCCAGGAATTCAGTTAAAACAATTGAAACAATTTGTGTAATTCCATGCTAGTTTATATGCTAGTTTACTTGACAAAAATGTTACATTAAATGCCATTTTTCCTCCCTAAACCGCCGATTTTTCCATTATTTGCATGTAAAACATAACTTTTGGGATTTTGGAAATAGGCGCAAAAACCACGGTTGCCGGAGACAAGCTATGTTAATTATCCGGCTAAATTTGTCAGGTAAATGTGCATAGCTGATATTCAGATTTTTGATGTCAGTCGGCAAAATCAATTCGCAGGAAATCGTTGAGAAAAGTGTCTAAATCTAGGTAGCGATAGCCTGCTGCAGGTCTTATGGAAATCCGCGAAGAACCGAGTGAAATAATCAGGAGCGATTTATTCCTCCGGAGTGACAGCTCTTTAGAAACACAGGCGAATGGCATTTTCTTGCCTTAGAAGCGCCTTTCTACCAGATTTTGTTCAGATTAGACTGGTCGATGAATGCGGCCATTATTCGCGCTAGGTTCTCCCCTGAAATGCCAAATTAATTACCGAGGTTTGATTCAGGGTGAGAAAAGCCGTGAAAGAGCAGCTAAAGATAATGTGTATGGAGGGCACACATGTATAGCGCCATGCACTTGTGTGCCTTTTGATTAGTAATTAGATATTTATGTTACATATGCATATAAAGTTATTAATGTGTGGGAGGTAGAAAATTAGTAGTTATAACCGTTGGTCGTTAGTTGTTCCAAAATAGAGAAATCCATTGTGTTATCCATCCATCTATCCATACATCCATACATACTTAAATAAGTTCAAAATCTATTATTATTATTTTTATTATTTTTATTATTATTATTATTATTATTATTATTATTATAAAGAGAATTGAGAATGCTGATTAGGTCTTATATTTGCATTTTACATTTATGAAATTGAACCTGGATGCATTTTTTCATTATGCTGTAAAAAAACAGGTGTTTTATTAACATCACACTACAAAAGTAGATGATTCAGACCTGCTCTCCATAGCTGCTCCCCATGGCTGCTCCCCGTGGCTGCTCCCCATGGCCGCTCCCCGTGGCAGCTCTCCATGGTTGCTCTCCGTGGCTGCTCTCCATAGCTGATCCCCATGGCTGCTCCCCATGGCTGCTCTCCATGGCTGCTCTCCATGGCTGCTCCCCATGGCTGCTCTCCGTGGCTGTTCCCCATGGCTGCTCTCCATGGCTGCTCTCCATAGCTGCTCCCCGTGGCTGCTCTCCATGGCTGCTCTCCATAGCTGCTCCCAATGGCGGCTGCCCGTGGCTGCTCTCCGTGGCCGCTCCCCGTGGCCGCTCTCCATAGCTGCTCCACGTGGCTGCTCCCCGTGGCAGCTCTCCATGGCTGCTCTCCATAGCTGCTCCCCATGGCTGCTCTCCATGGCTGCTCTCCATGGTGCAGCAACAGAAACCACTTGAAGATGTTGTGGTACCCTGAAACTTTACTACTAGGTTGATTTTTTTGTAATATTTGAATAGGCCTATTTTGATATTTTGGAAAATATATTTCATATGTATAATCCAAAAGATGGTGTGCTGTATGGATTTCAGGATTGATTGTTGGATTTGGTTTCTGCAGAGGGTAATGTAGAAGAACAATTGATCTGTCTTCGGCACTTGAATTACTGCAGTTATTTCAAATTATACCATTCATCTGGGTTCTTATGATAAAACAAATCAATAGCATTTTTTGTGCATCAATGGGCTGTTATGTTACATATATGATATTTTAATATTTTCATTTTTATTCAACTTTCACTCCTCCACTTTAGGTCACACTGTCAGGTACAAAAAGAGCACCAATTTGTACCTTTGCTTGTCACTGGGGCTGTACCCTCAAGGGTCTGCCAACTGTACCCTTAGCTGTAGGTAAATGTATCTTTTAGTGTAATTTAAGGTACAGATATGGACTCTGAAGAACATCCCTAAGGTACAAACTACATTAGTGTACCATCAACGGTACAAATGTATTCCTCATAGTCCATTTCTGTATCTAAAAAGGTACATTTTCCTACATCTAGGGTACAATTTGCAGACCCTTGTGGATACAGTCCCATTGTCAAGCAAATGTACAAATTGGTACAATTTTTTTCCTGATAGTGCACTACCTCTACAACATTTACACTGTTGTATAATATTAATTCATAAAAAATATAGCTGTAAACCGTAAATTAGATACAACGTATATTTTCTTCTTTTTTCTATTTTAGGTTTGGTCACTGTCGTAAGAGCGACATCTTGTGGCTGAAAGTTTTAAGTATTGCACGTGCCGCTAAGGTTCGTTTACGTAGAGCGCGATTTACATAAACCATTCTTTATAAGCGAATGAATTATTAGCAGTATTGTATAATGTAACCACAAATGTTCAATGTATTGACCACAATCGATTGACACAATAATTGCTGTAAATAAGTGTGATACACATTATCCCGATTTAAGGTCCAGATGAGAAGCTTGATGGTATCAGTAAGCCCGGAAATCACATAGCAGGTATGAGGTAAATGTGAAATTAAGAAAACATTACATTCCTAATAACATACTTGATTTCAATATAAAACGATTTATATGTATTTCTTCTTAATTGTTGGTATGTAAACAAATATTTTATATTTAAGTTTACTTAAATTTCCCTACGGGATAAATTAAGTATTTCTATTCTATTCTATTATATTCTATTTTGTGCTTTAACTCATTTTGTCAAATGTATGTTTTTTTATGTTTTGACACAGGCGTGTTAGCGTCGGTTAACTATTGCTTATGAAGGATGAGAAATCGTCAGGGCTTATATGCAAGTAAAAGGCATGCGTGGTCTTATAATAGTATATGCTTATTCATTTCAGTATAACGCCGAGGAGTGTATAAACGAGAAATGAAATGGCACTCCCCTCCATAATAACCCCTCTAAGTCTGTCACGCCACAATGACTAATTCTCTTACTATACGCTTCAAACACAAATGGCATGTCGCTTACCACGTGACTATAGAACCTGTTTCTTTTTAAGAAAAAAAAAAAGAAAAGTTCCTTATTTGCTGAAACCTGAAACATTTTATTTAAATGTCATCACAGTGACGGGCAATAGAATGATCATGTGCGTCACCCAACCAAATCAATTAGCTTTTGAAATAACAGAATTATTGTTTTGAATAACACTCATTTGCTGATATGATGTACCCATCCGACCATGTTTATAGCGAGTATTTCAATGAGTCTCGCGCTGTGAATACAAGCTGGAGTGTCTGTTTTGAAATATTAAACAAATAGCCACCGCACGTCATTATTACACGTTTTATCGTGTTGCTTTAACCGACGTTACTACAAAATACCATGGTTACGTTGTCACTCTACTACGGTATTTCCTTTTCCAGTTTTGCGCAAATTGTCGTCCCGTGTCGTCTGAGGTATATTAAGTGCGGCTAATAGCGACAAGTGTCCCAACTTGTCATGCAATGTAAAGGACTTGTAGGTATTTTGTTTAAATAATCTAGATCTCAGTACTGTATCTGTCAGCGCTTCCCTCGACTACCAAATGCCTGTGGATCTGCAGCGGACTCTTTTTTTCCTGCTCAGTGGATGGACAGTGAATGATGCTCATGAGACTGTTCGTCTTTCCGACGATAAGATGAACTTTATTTATCTCAGAGGGAACTTCTGTGATTAACATTCTTTCTCGCCGATCCAGTAAATGCGTTAGGTGTATATAGACTTAATCTTAGACAAAAGTCAGGTTCCCTCCCACCTTTTCGCCAAATTACGTCTAAATACCTGGATGAAAACGCCTAGCTGTTTTTTTTTTTTTTTTGCATTTGAGGAAAAAACAAAAAAAAACAGTTGTTTGCTTATTCCCCGCAGGCCGCCTGAACGCCGCGCTATACACTACATATTTTATATATGATTTGATTTATACGAGAGCTTACACAATTTATGCATAGTCTAAAGTGCACGCATGTTTACATATGTGCGCACGTCTTATTTGACAGTTACCTTACCGCATACAGAACCGCTTTCTGGCACAACGACACAAGTTTTACCTTACAGCATGAAATGCAAATTTCAGGCAAAACAGCTGCAAAGGAAGTAAGAACCTGCTGCTGCGCTGGGCGAGAATTTTTTGTTTGTTTGTTAGGAGTCAGGAACTCAGCATCGCTACATAAAACGTGTGTATCTGTCTAGTTTGTATTATAGCTTAGATGGCGTCTGGAGCGATTAATACTTTGTACATTACATTCTTAAAATTATATGTAACAGGTCAGTGTGTTTTGGGGTATTTCTAAGTGGGATACAGTACTTTTCTATTAGTTCCGTGACACGTGCACAGACCGACACACGGGCTCCCCGAGTCACCCAGGAAAAAGGAAAACTTTCCCCAGACTATTAAAATATTTAGCATTTTATAGTATTTTATTTTATAGTATTTAAAATATTTAATATTTATATTTAGTGCGTCTCTAAACGTCATGTGCTCTAACCTCAGTGCTAAATTGCTGATGTAGCTAAATATTCCATCTCTTCTGTCGAATTTTAAGTAAACAGCTTAAAAAGCTATTAGTGGCAAATAGTGGCTTGAAGTCAAATGCCAAGGGCTGACTGCTATGCTAACTAGTGATGTAATTCAAGATTTTTCTTTGTATTGGGGGTTCTTCTATAAGGGAAAAATTGTTACCGAATACCAGCTTCTTCTTGTTTTCACCCGATTTAAGCGGCTCAGTGATTTCAACTTCCTGTATATTTTGTGCGTCACATTGTCACATCTTGCACCTCTAACAGTTACAACAGATTTTAAATCCTCGCTTTCGTTATCCTTCCTCTCCCTTACTCACCTTAATGGTAGCTCATTCCCCCTCTGTTCCCCTTAACTAGTGTGTTAAAGTTCCTCAGCAACACAATGGAAACAATGTTTGTTTTACTTCTCCAAATTACCCAAACACACCAAATAGTGAGGCCATGTAAAATCTATATAAAAAAAAAAACAGAACAGGAATATGAATGAATCAAAATCAACACAAAAGGACATTTTGCAAAAGCTAAGCCCCTCCTTTCACCCCATGGTCTGCCTTCCTCATTGTGCTTTCCTACACCTTTCTTTCAGTTCCTGTTTTGTCGCACAGAAGTTCAGCAGACAAATCGCGTGGAAGGCTGTTTTGCCAAAGTTGTAAGCGCCGTAACCGAAGGATGTGGTCGCACTGCTAGTCTGCATGCTACAAATGAAAAGACAACTGGATTCAGCTTGGAAGAGCAGCAAAAGGCAACTGAGCTGAAGATTCTTTCTGACTCGAAGGGTCATGAAACAAACCACGGGACGTCTAGGATAGCCCGGGGTAAGATGTCACGGCGGATCTCTTGTATGCTTTTCACTGTTGCTGTAGATGTTGTATTTGCCAGAGGGGCAAATGCAGTTGGATCAGCTGTTGATCAGTCTGTGTCATTTATCTGTTCAAATGCTTAAAAATGAATGTGTTTCTTGGGTTTACCATACTTTACTGTACCATGCTGCGGTTCTTGGGATCGTAAACAAATGGAATTGCACATCCACGAAGCTGTACATCTACAGAGCACCAACTAGTAATCGCAGTTGTTTGATCTCACTATATGTCTTCATATTACCACTTGTCATCTTAGCAAAACCAACACTCTGGAGAATTGCAGTGCAGTGCAGTGCAGTGCAGTGTGTAATTGTAGCCTTTATGGATATGGGAGCTGAATATACTTATAGGCTAGTTTGTGCTTTTACCTGATACCCTAAAGCTGCCCAGGTACAAGCTGAGCTTAACATGTCACAGGTGCAAATAATTCTGTAAAATGACAGGTCTTTATGTGACTGAGTCCCTGGTTCCGTGGTAGAGGAACCTGAGCAGTGACCAAAAGATCGGTTAATGTAATACACATATGTATAGATGGACGTAAATGTACAGATTTTGCACTGGGTATGTTTTTTTCGTAAAAACACAAACCGCTCTGCCTGAAGCGTATATGTGAAAACTAGGTCTCTCTGAGGCAAAATACCACAGTTTGGTGGTGGAGGTTCTAGAAGAACAAACATGTTTTGAAAGTGAAATCTGATAAACAAGGTGGAGTGGAGTCATTTCAGCAGAATCTGTTACAGTCTTCGTACACTGAGCCTTTGTAGGGTGATCAGTCCAATGAGCAGGACTGCAGAGCAGCTGTACGCTGTGAGAAGCGATTCATGAAACTAGATCAATGGTCTGAATAAGCAGGAAAGTCTACAGGGAGGATTGGCTTGTGCTTCCATCTCTATTGTTTTACTAGGGTCTTTCGTTAAATATTGTACGGCGTGGTACATTGTTACCTTACTGATGAATAATGAGGAATATACTCATAATTCTGTTGTACATACTGTAGGTTTCCAGACAGTGCAGATGATACTGAAAGCAGTTATTGAACTGCCTGCTGAGCATCTTGTGTTGTGACCAGGGGGGTAGCTAGAAATACTGGGGCCCCTGACAAAATGTCACCTTGGGGCCCCCACTGGAGTTGGCACTCTCAATCTGGGGTCCCCCTCCAGTAGATTTTGTCAAAGGGGGGGATGTCAGGGTATCCATGTCTGACACTGCATCCTGCATTGATTTTAACTCCAAAGCCATGCAAATGTCAGATTTCTGTTTTAAAGCAGGACGTTGCCTGGTGGGTCGTGTCTGTCTCACCTCTGCACCTCCTGCACTGGATTAACTGTCTCATCTGTCTAAATGGTCAACAACCTCATGTCTGGATTTCACCTGATTTCTCATTATTCTGATTGAACACTTAGTAAAGTTAAAATTTGAAAGAGATTGTGGAGAGTGATGCTCTGCTCCAGATATATTCTTTGAAAAAACACCATATTATTCATGATGCAAGTGTTTCAGGCTTCAGCTGTAAAAGGGGAAATGGAGCATCCAAACTTATGGATGTTAGTCCAATCCTGCTTTACCAGGAAGTGACATCAGTCAGTGACTAACAGTGCATGATAATCCCACCCAATGAGAGTATTAAATGCTCAGCTCCAAATGCATTCTTAAACCAAAATAAAAACCTACACAGTTACAGATACAATAGGTCATGACCGAATAATTACGTTTACTATAAATACAATGAACATGATTAAAAAGTAGTTGCATTAATGGAGAGCATTGCAATTACTGATTTAACTGGAGGTGATGGAGAGGATTAGTTGATGTCACTGAAAGAAAAGGAAGTAGATGCTGTACAGTTTCCTCCTCGGCGATGTAACTTCTTCTTTGGAACTTGCACAGTTCATAGTCAAGAAAGACTAAAAAGATAAGCTGGAAGTGTAGGTGTATGTCATGCGCATTTTTATATCGCAAGAAAGTGTGTCTCTGGGACAGCAGGTATGTGGTGTGTACCTGCCAAAGCCATTTGGGATTCAGTTATTGTTTTTGGTTTGTAACATGACTTAATTGCATTTACACTCATTACTACTTAAACTGACATCTGTATTTTAATGTGACAGAACATCTTCGGTGATCTGGCAATTATTACTAATGCTGGATAAAATTGCACATGTAAAAATGGGTGAAAATGGCAGGCAAGTATACATATTCATACGTACGTATACATGTACGTACCTGTCTTTGCGTTTCTTAGCATCCTTTCAGGGTTTACGTGACCATGACTGGAAAGTCCCAGTCACCAGGACTTTCCTAACGTGTTGATGGAGCCACATGTCAATGAGTGAATCACACCCCTTTGTTGCTTTAACCAGCCTTTTACAACCAGCCTACTAAACAATACGCATGAGCATGGATGTAGATCCCACTTACTTTAGAGAGTTTGTTGTCAAAAGCTGGACGGCTGGACGCAGGACAGCAGCACGTTGAAACAGGTTTGTCTGTGATTGTAACCTGATTTTCTCTGGTCGAGAAATACGTGGAGGAATTATTCAGCCGAGCTGATGCGCAGTTATGGTGCGGAGATGCTGATGGTACTTTAGGATTCAGGATTCTCTCACAGGTGTCTTGAAAAAATCCTGGATTTGGTTTTTTTCATTGTGACCTTACAGTGGGACCCAAGATTTTGCCTTCAATTTTGAGGCCTGACAATGTTAATGCCATGTGACCCACGCAGATAAATAAAATAGATACTATATATCTGGCCAGATGTTTTTATTTTGTGAACGAATCATAATAAATTCTACTGATAACAATCATTGTGATAATACAATGATAGTGAAACCCACATTTGCAAGACGGGTGTATTTGCACAGATGATATTGATTTAAAAGGAACACGAAATTGGTCACCATCGAGGCACACGAGAGGGTTTTATTTTCGGAAATGAAAGCTGATTTCTCTGGAGCTTCTTTGCCTAGTAAAGCCTGTGGTTTGTGTCCCGGTTTTAAGCCGTTGTAAAATACAGTGATAAGTCATGCTTACCGCAGACTGTACATAATGCTTCTTTTCATTTCCAGTTGTTCTTTGTTTTGCAAATGCATTTTATTATTAATTTGACTTGTTTGACAGTCCACATTATCGTATATGTTTCCACACTTCCTGTAAAGTAAAAAAAAAATTTCATTTCTTCTTTTAAGTATTTCACATTTGATTGCTGTATAAGAACAGAAGTGATAGACATTGTTATATGGTAAACCCAAGGGTCCGCGTTAATCATACCCAGTGGTACCGTAGCTCACCCTAACCAGATGGATGGACACCTGTGTGTTGATACAGGTCAGTGCCCAGTGCCCCCCCTCCGGCGATTTGCACCCCCAACTTGTAGATTGAAATGTTGTAAAATTAAATGAAATTGTAAATTGTGACGTCATATTTGAAAATGTGGCTTGTTTCAGTCATGCTGATGTATGATAATAATTTAATGTCAACGTATTAGCTGTTTTTTGGTTTTACCACCTATCCATGTCAGTGGTCCATTTTTAAAAAATCTTTTGTTTTTGTGCTTTGGCATAAGCTAATATAAGAAATTATTACAGGGCAACAGCGGCATTACGGATGTGTCATATAAACTCAAATTGGCAAAGAAAATGTTGCACAGCATGGACAGGCTTAGTGTCAGTGTCTCAGTTTGGATGTTTTTTCATGTAACCTCTTGGGTGGACTATAGACAAATCTTCAAAATTCTTGTATTAATTTGCATGTTAAATACATATAAATACATAGTATATTTTTCGACATTACAGATGTGACATTGGTTGGGCCTTTGCATGGAATCGCCCCACAACAGTTTCCCTAAACCTAATCCTGCAGGGTTTCCAGATCGTTCTTTGGTGCCCCACTTTGGCTTCCACGTGTCTTGTCTTCCCCGTACTGCCAATCCCCTTTGGAGGGACTTCACCGACCCCTGCGTTTCTGTACACACGCTGTGGTGGCGTCTGGCTGATCAGCATTACAGCTCGAGGCCTGGCTGTTTGCGCATTTCACAAACAGGCTTCCTACACAGGCTTGGCTCTGCTTTGCTGCACGTCTGCATTTTCGCTGCTGTGAAATTGTGGCTTTCGGTAAACTGTCAGAATAACCTTTTGCCTCAAGAAAAACACTTTCTCTGCCCTCAGAGTGTAGAATTTTTTTTCCCCCCGGTTTGCATGCATCACCCATCCATCCGACTATCTTCAATCTTCAGTCAAGATGTGGTTGCGTCACTCTTAAAAATCGAACAGTCAAATTTAGCATTCTTTGCCGTATTGTTTTTATAAAATAGTTTTAGTCGATCAGCAGAAGCTTCCATCAGTGATGGCCTTTGCTATAAAAAGGGCTGGAGTAACTTCTCTGAGCATCATTACTCTGAGATTTCGACTACCTTTTCCACAGCACCGGAAATGCCACCTTTACCATCGGTGACCAGTTTCCGCCGCCAGTTCTTTGAAGGCTGTACCTAGTTGCCTCTCAGAAAGAAGACGGCACAATTTCACAGCTCTAGAAAGACGCAGTAAGCGGAAGCTGTAAGGCAGTGTATTTTTGTGTCTGAATGTGTGCTTATCTCCCCACACTGATCTCTGGGCTGGGGTCGCTAAGCTACAGAGCATCAACACCTATTTTAATCCGGCTTGAAGCCTTTTCAACAGAAGTTACTGTGCTGCAATGTGAGGATCGAGCGTGTCTGTCCTTCCTGTTTATGTCTATGCACACTTATTATCTGCAGTAATCCTTATCAGCTTAACTCCACTACAAATTTAAAGAACAGAACTTTCTGCTCACTTTTGAATATTATTACCAGTATGATTCTTATTGGCCCATACAGTATCAGTCAAAAGTCTACACACACCTACTGAAAATCCTTTGTTTATCAAAAAGATAATGAACCTACGAACACCTCGAGTATTATGCAGTGAGTATTATGCAGTGAGTAT